TTGTCTGTTTCTTTTTTTTTTTTTCTTTTCCTTTTTTTCTTTTTCTTCTTCTAATCTTATTTTCTGACGACAATTGATAAAAATTCAAGAAAACTATACGTTATGGATTAATTTATTTATTTTATGTTGCTCCAAATCTTAGCTGTTCTTTTTTTTCTTTATTTATCTTTTCTATTTTTTCTATTCTTTTTTTATTTTTTTTTATTTTTTTCTTTTTTCTTTGATAAATATACGTCTATTTCGGCTGAACGACGAAAGGATAAAAATGTTGAAAACCAAACACGTTTGATCTCCGCGTGCAACATGTAACGTTTGATTGACGTGAAGAGAAAAGAATGCATTCGCATTTTTTCTTTTTTTTTTTTTTTTTTTTATCACCAAACTCATGAATGTGCACGCGTGAGAATTTAACGCGGCATCGTGATATAATATATAATGTATATAATATATATGCATGTATATATTATAAATAATCAATTAAAGGTTTGCCTTGAAAGTAAGTAAAATATATATATATATATATATATATATATATATATATATATATATGTATGTATGTATGTATATATGTATGTATGTATATGTGTGTGGTTTTTGTATCATTTTTTTTTTTTCTCTTTTACTACTTCACACATTCTTTCACCATCGATTACACTTAACTTTTTATTCATATCGTATCCAAACAAACCAGACTTTGTAATCATATGGTTTTCTCCCCCACCGTTCGAGAAAAAGCACTGATTTTAAAGAGAATAAAGATAAAAATGAAAAAAAAAAAAAAAAAAAAAAAAAAAATAAAAAAAATAATAAAAAAAAGGGGGAATAACACAAATAATTCAATCGAATATCGAATTATAGAAATATGCACGAAACGCTACAGGCGTTTTATTTATATTCAATCCTTCGTTCAATAAAAACACTTCTTGCGAAAAATATTTCTTTTCAGGATATCATCGCGTTATAAAATCTATATTTACCAATATGGTACACATGAAAATTATTTAAAACGTAAATGACAGATTATAGTATGAGTTCGTTAAAAAAAATCGAAAGATTTTTCGAATTTCTTGTCTAAGAAAAATAATCTAAGAGAAAGAAACTCGATTGAGTTCGCTTATGCGATTGCAAAATACATGAAAGGTGATAGGAGAAGGTGAACCCTTTTCATTCGCAAAGAAAAAAAAAGAAAAAAAGAAGGGTAAACCGATCGACGCTGGTAATACGCGTGTAAAGCAAAAATATTTTTTTTCTTTTTTTTTTTCTTTTTTTTCTTTTTTTTTTTTTTTTTTTCTTTTTTCTTTTTTTTTTTTTCCTTTTTTTCTTTCATATCCGTCTACGAAACAAACGATCCAACGACACGGCAACAAACGATCGAACTCAGCGCTAGCACGCAACTGGGACGATCACGAAATACAAGCCTATCGAGGCACCACGACTCGTATTCCCTATTTCTTTTTTTCTCCCTTTTTTGTATAAAAAAAGACCTAAACTACCTAACGTCTACGTTATTCGAAGCCTTAAAAGATGAACAACGGGCCTTTCATTTTGCAAATACTACGTCCGCCCTTTTCATTCTACTGCTTCTTCTCTTCTTTTCCACGTATTCGTTATCCTTTCGTACAACAAAGCGAAATAAGAAAAAAAAAAAAAAAAAAAAAAAAAGAAAAAGAAAAAAAAAAGAATTTACACAAACGGGGAAAAAAAAAAAAAGAAGAAGAAGAAAACACGCGTCACCACCTCTCGCCCCCTTTTGTACTAGAGATCGGAATGATGATAACAATATTTTCGAGCATTCGAGTGAAAATAAGTTGACAATAATTTATTAGAACGTTACCCGTTATAATTTATATCATTTACAACCTTATGTTGTATGTATTAACAGTCATTCGATCGTATCATTTGCGGAATTCATACTCGCGAGCATACTTGATCATTCGTCGATAGCATTCGATATGACAGGTATAGCGGATAGCCTCGATACACTCTTACGTTTACTGACCGCTCCGTAAATGTAAGATTTCTCAAGGCACGCTCATATCTTAATCATGAGCCAAGCTAAACGACGTTCGATCGTTCCTCGCTTCTTTTCCGATTATTTCGCTCTCTTTAACACGCGATTGAGTAATTCGCTTTTCAAGTGAATTATCTAACAAGTAAAATTCACGTATCATGAAATAAAAGAGTAATAAAAATTTCCATTCTACACGGAGGTTCCTTTGAAAAAGTGGCAAGTTTGACAATTATTCGATATTTAATATATGCCAATTGTTAAGAAAATTTTATAACAATTTTACTACATATACGCGAGAAAGCTAAATGACGAGATTGTGTTCCCTTACAAAACCTAGTAATGGGTAAGCTTTAAAGCGATAGTATAAAGAAGGTCAAAAAAAAAAAAAAAAAAAAAAAAAAAAAAATTTTAAAGAAGATAAAATCAAAAGTTAACGAGTAACATCGAATGAAATGATAAACGCGATATTATCTCTATCTCTCTTTCTCTCTCTCTCTCTTTCTCTCTCTCTCTCTCTTTCTCTCTCTCTCTTTCTCTCTCTTTTTCTCACTGATCCGAAATCACAGACAATATTGTTTTCTTGTTTAAAATCGTACATAACCCACGCGGGCCTGGCACAATACTTATAATCTACACATTATATAAAAAACCTCTTGCACCTCCGAAGAAATTTCGTTGTAACAAGCACCGAAATATAACGAATATATACACATATATATTTATATTTATATATATATATATATATATATATATATATATTTTTATCGGTGGCTAAGCGCTAAAAACTATACTTCGCGACTAAAAAGTGTTCGTTTCATTCTCTCGCGAACAATATCTCACTAATTTCTCGGAGTTTACTACGACTATACAAACGCTGGAAATTTCCAAGACTCGAAGATCGACGCTTATCGTTTATAGATATAAACTTCGATATCGTTCATAAGATCCGATTCAAAAGAGAAATTTAACCACCGATACAATCTAAATCACTCGACAAAGTTCAAAAAGTGACTGAACAAAAAAAAAAAAAGAAATTGAAATGTAAAATATTAATAACACAGACATATAAGAAAATATAATTTTTGAAAATTATTCGTAAACGTTCCTTAATCGTCGCTATAATAATTACATTAATATTTAAATTTACGAGAAATATGTCTACCCTGATTACCAACGGGACTTGTGATTTATTTGAGCGAAGAGTGATTTAGTTGTTAAACTACAAATATACTCCCGGGTCGTATCGACGTTTCCGATAGAGAAATTTGACTTTTAGATGTGGCAAGGTTAATACATTAAACTTATTTTTTCTTGAAAAATACGGCTTACTGAAACGTATCAATATTGATCTTACGAAGACTCGTGTGTGTATTCTAATATCCGACACTGTCTATCAATCCGTATGCAAAGTACGCAACAGCGTAATTAACAATGAATCGTTTGGTCGTTTCATTTGAAATATTATTAATGCTCCTCCCAGTTAAACTCTGCTAACTATATTTTTAATTCGACATAAATCGATTCCCATAATAATCAGAATAAAAAACAAGCATTTAATATAGCATGACAAAGTTCTGACGAACGACAAAAAAAAAAAGAAAAAAAAAAAAAAAAAAAACAGAAAAAAGAAAAAAGAAATAACTATATAATTTCTAAAAGGGATATATAAAAGAATAATTACTAACAGTTAGCAGTTTATGTAGGAGGAGCTTTAATATGCAGCAAAAAAGAATAAAAACGCATACTGCTGCGTGAATTTTTTTTTTCCGCTCTTACTACCACCACTATTACCATTACTACTACGACTACAGGTACTTCTACAACTAGGACCTTCGACAATTATTATCGCTATCGCTATGCCTTAAAGATATCAGCATAATTCACATTTTGAAATATTCTGGTAAAAAGAAAAACAATCCTCTTTGTAATCCTTCCCCCCGGGAAGGCGCAATATTACAAGTCCCCTCGTATTTTTCTCATTTCTCATACATATGAATATAAACTCACAAGTACGTTTTCCTCGTTCGTTCGGTCCTTTTTAACGCGAACAATTTATACGTAGAATCACGCACGAGTATCCGAAGTTATCAAACAATATCGGCCAAATTGATAAACATATAAATATTACGTATGTGTTATAAAATGTTGATTTTCCAAACTTCGTGTAAATTGTGATTGGCTTTCGAGAGGTCGTTTAAACTGTAGTTGATTTTGCGCTGGCATATGCATTTGCAGTTGTATCTGCTGCGCCTGTAATTGTGCCAGAGCCGTTGATGGTGCAAAAGCTGGATAAGCCAATGTCGTGTTCAGACTTTCGTTATGCTCCTCCAGAGAATTTTGTGCATAATGTAGCACTAGATGTTTCAAGCTCTCGTGAATGTTATAAGGCTCGGCGAATCCGTAACCTCGTTCGGTTGCATATATGATACAATGATTTACAGTACCGTTGCACCTACGATTTCGATGGAAATACGAATAATCAGAATATGTCTTTTGTCAAGGAAAAAAAAAAAATATTTCAAAAAATAAGATAACTTACATGATCGACAAGGCATATTGACCGGTTCTTGATCTTCGTACCAGGAATGTACCGTCCGGTCGTCCAGCAAGAATACGATCGGCATCGGAACGTGATCCTTCCAAGTAAAGCCATGTCTTCTCATCCGTATGTACTTCTAAATCAACTTCTGGAAGATCTCCGTATACTAAATCGCCGACTAATGGATTTGTAAGTGAATGATTTAGCACTAACTGATTAATTTTATTTGCCGTCATGCCATTTTTCTTCAACCATCTAACGTAAAAAAGAAAATAATATGCGAACTCAATTCAATCTGAGATGAAGTGTCAAAACGAATAAATAAGAATCAACGTACGTAAAATGTTTGTCCCTTTGTCTCACAAGTTGAATAATCTCCGGTTTTAGTTTATGCATTTCTCTTTCGAGAGTTCTATTATAAGCTATTCGTTGCTTCAAACTATCATCCAA